CTGCACCTATTCTATCAGAAAAAATAACCGTTCTTCAGAATGGCCTGGTGGGAGTTCTGCTAGTCTTAGTGGAATATCGAGGGTGTTGAACTTCAACAGTTGTATTGGAGCAGTTTCGTGTCCTGGCAGCAACACTGGCATACGATCCACGTGTTGGTTGAGTTGACGATGTGGGCTGTGGGGATGGAGTCTGCTTTACCTCAACTAGATCATCCGTTTCACCAAGCTCATCCTGTAGAAGAACTTGAGTAAGCTCTCTATACTCAGTATTCAGCTTCAAAAGTCCGTTAGTTGCGGCTGAAAGTTTATCTAATTGTTTTTGAGTAGATTTTAGGCCTTCACTTCTTGATTGAAGATCAGACTCCAGGTCTTTAACTTGTTCGGCTATATTCACCATTTGTTTGTATAGATTTACTTTTGCCGCTTTTATTTTCTTAAGTGCTTTCGATTGTTTTCTTATTTGGTTGTTCAATTTTGAAAATCTTGGGTCTTGCTGCTTGATATGATAGTTGGGGCCGATTCTAGTTTGTCTATGAATCAAAAATAAAAACTACGGTTATGTGGCATGCGTGAGAAAAGTTATTTGCCGTCATTTCCCCAGACATAACACGCGGTTCCTGAACCCATCACAGAGAATTTTTAATAAGTGTGTAGATAAAGCAGTGTACGTAACTGTACAGAATTAGGCATTAAGACACTCGCCTGTCGGCTCGTTTCATAAACACATTTAACGAGTTCACTTTCATATTTTGTCTTATTTCGTTTTGTACACACACATTATTAGGTATAATTACTTATTAATGAATCTATCTACATTTATGGTTTATTTATATACGTGAAAAATCTTGTGCAAACCTATTTACCTATTATTTTAATAACATATTATTATTGGCATGTGCTACCCACTGATCGGTTTGAAGTTTTATCTTACCACTAAAAAAAGTATTGATACTTAAATCTGTACAATGTCTAAATTATTTATGTTTGGAGTCGGTGCCACATAAGGAACGAGAAATAAAGAAATACCTGGATTCTAATGCTATACAGTAAGTATCCATGTGTGATTGTACTTCACATGAATTATTAAGATTTGGTAGTAAATATAACTATCTGAACGTCACCTCCATTTGCCTCTATGCAACACATGCGCCGGAGTTTTATTGGGGTAGACGCTTGTGCCAGAGAATACTCAAAAGTGAACCAGTATAACTTATATTATGTAGGTACTTCTATGTGTCAGAAAATACGATTTGCATTTGTAAGTAAGTAAAGGTTAGCTGGAAGAAATCTGTTTGTGGTATAAGCTCGCCTTTGTACAGTAACGTTTTATTTCTTTGTTAAAAATAATAGTAATAATTTGTTTTGTGGTATAATATTCTGTTTACATGCAAACATACATAAGCCATACTGAAATCTATTATACTTGCTTATTAAGCCTGATTCGATAATATAGATGTAGATACATAGTTACACAAAATTTTGATTCAAGCTTCATCTTTCCACTTCCTCATAAAATTGGTATGTCGGCATTTTCGATTTTCATGGGATCCCTTCAGCAGATTCTGACTTAGTGACAATGGGACCACCACGAGAGTGCATCCTTTCAAACAAAAAAGAATTTTTAAAATCGGTCCACAATTGACGGAGAAATCGGAACACATACATAAAACATATATACAGCCGAACGCGTAACTTCCTACTTTTTTTATTCGGTTTAAAATAGATGTCGTATTGGTAAATCGCAAAGAACATTACAAAATTTTAATTAACAGAAATTTCTATTGGTATATATTTAATGAGGTATGACATGATGTTTTGATGTGCTGTGTAAGGTGTATTGCTTTTTATTTAATGTATTGCAGCTCAAGTATTTTCAAAATTACGCTCTGTTGGTGCAGCAAATAAAAAATACAATAATAAGGATGAAAATTGAAATAGAAACGTGTGCGAATACAAAATAAGCAAAGCAGAAATGAACGGCCGTGCACTCTTGCCAGTGAATGGCTGTATTGTAAAATGTATTACTTATACGAGTAGGTACTCCAAACGCTCCAATTACATAAACGTTTAAGTGAACATAAACCATCAACGTTCATAGAATACCGACGAGCGTTCTTCCGCTACAGAAGACTTGAACGATATTTAATTAAAGTATTTCAATAGGAAGGTTTTATTGTTCGTTGTCAACTCGAGCAAGTCGTGCTTCGTGTGGCGCGTGATGGACAACGGGTGACGTCGCATGAACGCGCGCACGCGATTCATCGTCAGATGACAGTTGACAAATAAGAAATTTCAATACATCGGGGAGTAAAAAGGGAGGGAACAGGAAGAACTACAAACGAATACGTCTCCGCGACGCGTGATGTGTGTCGCGCGGGCGCGGCGGTTGCGATGTCCGTGTCGTGTCGTGTCGTGTCGAGAGTGTTCTCGTTAGTGGTAACGAATCGAATACCTACAATAATAAATATTTATATGTTCGCATGTCGATATGCCATTCCCGATATACATCTTGCGAGATGTCATCACCGAGTTTTACCTCGTCGCCATTAATAATTAAGTAACCACGGAAATGCGGCCTATTCTAATAGTCCCTACCGGCGGTCCCCCCTGGGGGGACAAGTGGATTTTTTCCACTCTTCCCTACCACACCGTCTCTGGTTGGAACAAGTAGTATTTCATTTCCACTTATGCCTATTAATAAAATCTCTTGACGTGTACGGTACAGTTTCGACAAAAATATTTAATAATGTAATATAATATAATATTGAAAAATATTTAAAATATCTTTTTGATAGATAATTAGCACTGTTCACAATTTTTGACCTATACATATTAAATTTTTTTTCGAAAATATAGACTATTTTAAGACACTAATTTGAATATTTTATCATTTCGTAGGTTATTATGATTTTTTAAAAATTTTGTAAGTTATTTATTTGGTGACGTCATCAATGGCTCTATAAATGTTAACCTTTGCGGCAGGGAATATTTAAAAAAAGTAAATTAACATCTCTCAAAATGTCAAAAACGAAATTCTAACCTATAGATGTATATCGTTACTTTGTGTTCTCTGGTATTTTTTAAAGTATTGGGGTTTTATAGTTCTACTATTATCGCACGCGTTTTTGTTTCTTCTTGTTTTATTTAGTGTAGTTATATGACCGACGGAATCATGAACTTTATAAAAGCTGAGTCTCGTAAATTGCCAAAAGTCGAAAATGTAATGATTATGGAATACATTTATTTAAAATAAGCTTAATGTAGCACAAATAACAAGAGTAAAAATCGTTCCAACGTTGAAACATCTACATAGATTTAAAACTAAATAGCTGTTGCGTGCGTCGGAAAAATGGAGCAAAGTAGTCACCACTTGGTACCCACGTGATGGAAAACGTAATACAGGGTGTCAACATCAAAGATGGGAGGATGAGCTGAAGCTAACTGCAGGACCATGTTGAAAAAGAGGAAAGGCACTGGAAAGGTCTGGATGAGGCCTATGCCAAGAGGCACGCTGAGTTAAGAAATACTCATAGTGTAAAAATTTAAATGCAACGTAAAATTGTAATGTAAAAATATTTGTAACTCGGCTTAAAAAGGCTATGAAGTAAGATGAAAGCCATTGTGAAATGAAAACTTTATGCAGCTTCTTCATAATTAGATGAGAAATATCTATGGTAGTGGTCGTATATTAAAATGAATATTATAAATGTGACCAAATGTGTTACTGATTTCATAAAATTGATTAAACATTACTGCTCATTCGTTATTAAAAAATCCCATTGGCCAGACTAGTCTGACCAACGGGAAACACTGGTTAAATATATCTCGTGAGTGAGTAGTAATCTTATGTCAATTCTGACAATTTCAAGTGCTATTTGCTTTAAGGAGAAATAAAAGTATTATTAATTAATATACGTATTTATTTACTCCATGATCTAAATAACAGCGTGCGCGAGCGCGAGCGGACGTGCGCAGAGAGAACGGAGCGTTGTTTGTTTGTTTATCATTATTACCTACATTTTTTATTCGTACGAATCTGATAGAAAATGGGTACTAAGTGTAATGGATGTGATTCGGTGATATACGATATTTCGTATATGGAGTGTTCGCAAGAAAACTGTAAGAAACTTTACCATTTAAAGTGCCTTGCAATTACGGAAAAAACGTTCGAATTGTTTACACAAGAGTATAAAAGTGATTGGTGGTGCCCCGAATGTGTACGAGATATCCCGAAACGTGGTAATTCAGACACACCAGTTCGAGGACTTACAACGATGAATCAAACGTTTACTCCGAATGCCTTTGTAAGTACTCAGCGTGGAGGTAGCTGCCGCAATAACGAGTTACAAACGGATGATGATGAGATGAAAATACTGGCTGAGATAAGGGAGTTTCGATTGGAAATGAGGATGAAGATGGTGAAGCAAACGGAAGAGTATGAAAGCCTCAAGAATAGGTTCATTTCCACAGAAAGTGAATTACAGAAACTAAGAAGCATGTTGGAGGTAGTTCAAGAAAAGGCTAATAAGGTAGATACATTAAAAATTGAAATAAAAGAACTCAAAAAGGAAAACGAACAACTGAGATTAAAGAAAGGGTGTGAGTATGCCAAACCGCAAGGATCACCGCAAGCAATAAAATCATTTGCAAATGTGACAAAACACAGTATAGCCCAAGCGAAACTCGACCATAACAGCGCTTCTAGAACGGCGTCGCAAGGTAAGGCCATGGAAATCGCGGTCGTACCGATGGAAATTCAGTTAGAAGAAAAAAATAGTAATGAACAGAGAGATACACAAGAAAGCCAGGAAAATAAAAAAAAAAGTGAAAATGAGAAATGGACAACCGTTACAAGAAAAAGTAGATACCAAAATAGTCAAGTAAGAAGGGGAGATAACATCGGTAATTCCGATATTCAAGGTACAGAGCGGAAAAAATTTTTACACGTCTGGCGTCTCAAAAAAGAAACTACGCAAGAAAATATGGAAAAACATGTGAGAAATATATGTGGTAAAGAAGTGGATTTAAAGGTAGATAGAATCAAACATAAAAGTGAAAGGGATTATGCATCCTTCATTATAGGAGTCCCAGAGAGCCAATATGACTTATTATGCCAATCAGATAAATGGCCACTAAATATCGAATTTTGCGAGTGGGTGTGGTTTCGCAAGTCAAACAATAAGCCCAGAAGTCAATAAAATGTCGGCCATTGAGATTCTTTATCAGAATGTAAGAGGACTTCGTACAAAATTAGAGGACTTCTGTGTAAACGTGTCCTTATCGGAGGCAGATTTATTTGCCATAACAGAAACGGGTTGTAATGATTCAATAAAAGATGCCGAACTAGTGCCCCCGGGATACAAAATAATTAGATGTGATCGCGCAGATGGTCGAAAGCAGGGAGGCGCGTGTTTAGTGGCCATACCGCGTTTCGAGCTGCGACGAGCGCCGATCCTGAGTGACGTCATCTTAGACAATCAGGTGTTTGAACTAGTCGCTGCAAGTGTTTATTTACGAGACAGATTTTTATTTTTATGTTGTGTAATTTATATTCCGCCGAAGAGTAGTGAGACTGATTACATGGTAATGTTTAGGTTAATAGAACAATATTGTAATAGTTATAGTGACGTATTAGTTGTAGGTGATTTCAACTTGTATTCCGCTTCGGTGACGGTAAATAATTATTTTGAGTACTTTATAACGTATTGTGGATTCACTCAGAGCAACAAAGTAGAGAATAACATCGGTCGGAGTTTGGATTTAGTGTTGAGTACGGGGGACAGTGACAGTGTGAGCGTAAGCGCGGCGACGCCGCTTGTGCGGCTCGACCCAGCGCATCCCGCGCTTGGCGTGCGCGCGCAGCTCGCACGGCGGTCTGAGTCTGCGGCTGGCGGACCCCTCTCGCGCCCCGGTCCCGCGCCTTCAGCGAGCATACCAACGGCACCAGTAAGATGGAACTTTCATAAGGCCAACTTTGCGGTATTATATTCGTCCATTGCAAGTATAGATTGGTCTCCAATTATGAATTTAGATTTAGAGGATAGTTTAGACTATTTTTATGATACAATCAATTCGATAATCAGTAAGTGTGTTCCACTGAAAAAACAAAATAGGGGATCTTCAAAGTTTATATATCCAGTCTGGTATACTAGTAATATTATTCAGGACATTAAGTTCAAAGCGTTACTTCATAAAAAATACAAGGCGAGCGGTTTAGATACAGACTACAAAGCCTTTTCGGAACACAGGGCTAAAATAAAAAATATGATAAAGCTAGCTCATAAGCAGTATAGTGATCGTGTACAAAATCACTTACTTAAACAACCTAAAGCATTCTGGAATTATATAAAAGATAAAAGAGGTAACAGGAGTTCGCATAGTATTTTAAAAGATGGGTCGGTTTTAAGTGAAGATCAGTGCGCCGGGGAATTCGCTAGGTACTTTGAGTCGGTGTATAGCACAGTCCGGGCTCGGCTGGACGCGGGCGCGAGCGCGGCGCGCGCCGGCGGCGGCAACGCGGCCGCGCGAGTGCACCTCGAGCGCCTGGAGATTGGAGAGGTCGACGACGCGCTGCGCCGGCTGAGGCCCAAGACCTCCTCGGGGCCGGATGGGATACCGCCTTTTGTATTCAGGGACTGTCGAGCGGTACTAGCCAAGCCTTTACTGCACATTTTTAATTTATGTTTAAGCTCCGCAGTGTTCCCGGAGAGATGGAAAGTCACTCGAGTCGTCCCGGTTCCGAAGGGGAGGGCGTCAAGTAGTATTGAGGGGTACAGGCCCGTGGCAGTGCTGTCGACGCCTGCGAAAGTCTTGGAGTCAGCCATACACAAGAGCCTGTACGAGCAGGTGAGTGGGCAGCTAGCGGACGAGCAGCACGGGTTCCGTGCAGCGCGTAGCACCACCTCCAACCTCCTTAATTACATGGCGGATGTCGTTCCGGCTCGGTCGTCGGTTGTCGGTGGACAGAGGGGTGCAAGTAGATGCCGCCTATTTTGATTTCAAAAAAGCTTTCGACCTAGTCGACAATGACGTACTGCTGGATAAATTAGCGAGCGTCGGCTTCACCCCTCACCTTCTGCAACTGTTCGCCAGTTACATGGCCGAAAGACAGCAGTATGTGGAGTTTGCTGGGCACGTATCGGATCCGTATTTTACAAGATCTGGCGTGAGTCAGGGCAGTAACCTTGGGCCCCTGGAATTCTTGTTAATGATTAATGATTTGCCAAGCGTAGTAAGGGAGGCCAGGTGCTTATTGTTTGCGGACGACCTCAAACTGTATCTGCCTGTAAAGACACCAGAGGACTGCCAGAGGTTGCAGAGCGACATTGACAGGGTGGTAGCTTGGAGCGAGAAAAACAGATTACAGTTTAATACCGCTAAATGTGAGGTCATGACTTTATCTCGCGCGCGAAATGTTGTCATACACAATTATGCGATTGGGGATGTGGCTATGCGGAGGGTTTCAGAAGTAAGAGATCTGGGTGTCCGGCTGACTACTGGTTTATCTTATGGCGATCATATTACCCACATATGTAAAAAAGCATATCGCAATTTAGGGTTTGTACTCAGAAGAGCTCAGGGGTTTACAAACACTGCAGCAATTATTTCTTTATATAACGCATTAGTCAGGAGTCAGCTGGAGTGTAACGCAGCTGTATGGTCGCCACAAGAAGCGAAGTACAAACTTATGTTGGAGAGGGTACAGAACAAGTTTATTAGGTATATGTACTTAAAACAGTATGGAGTCTATCCTTTTTATCCGCTGCGATATCCTAATTTGTTTATTCTGGGAATGGTGGGGTATAGCGAGCTAAGGGTCAGAAGGGAGTTTGCCTTGGTTTGCTATATCCACAAGTTGGTGAGGGGGAAAGTTTACAACGCGGAGCTCCTTCTCCATGTTCAGTTTAGCGTACCAAACGAGTACGCGGGGCGGCGACGCAGGCCGCCGCTGCTGGCGCTGCCGCGAGCGCGCACCAACCTGCTGGCTGGGGCGCCGCTCACGCGCGCTTTGCGCACTCTCAACGCGGTAGCCGAGAGAGTGGATATTTTTACGTGTGCTCTGAGTGATTTCTCAAAAACTGCATTATTTATAATAAGTTATACATGAATAAGTTACGTATATTTAGGATAGTACATTAGATAATAAGATAGTTACGCTATCGAATTAGGTTAAGTTTACCTGTAATGTTAGCGTAAGAGAAAGATAAATAAATAAAATAAAAAAAAAAACAATATACTTGAATCACACTTTTTTACCTTTCGACAGTTAACCAACTTTCTTTAGTGTTGGTACCTTCTTTAAATAATCGACATTATACATTATCATAAATATTATAAAGGTGTCATTTAATAAAAAAAAAGAACTGTCATGTAAGAGAAAAATTGAGTAATATTTAGGACAAACTCACAGGACATTGGCGAAATCGCCATTTTTTTTTTGTATAATTTTTGTAATAATACTAAACTACCGTACATATGTAGTTATTTTTACTTGACATTGGCAAAATCATTGATTATTTCGATGGAGCCATAACATTTAAAAGAAGAAGAAGAGTAATATTTATAAATTTCACATTCTATTAGAATTTAAATAAGATTTTTGAATTATGAAACTGATACTGGCGATGATCTCCATAATTTCTATATTATTCTTATAAAACTGTTGCTGGCAAAACACAGCAGTTAAAAAAATGGCAACCAAGTTCTCTTTGGTAAAAAGGTGTGCATTGATTTTAATTTGTATATAAAATGTGCTGATATTAGAATTATAATTTATTAAGAATTCAGTCATTACAGTCACTCTTTATTAAAGAAAAATCGCATGCAATTAGTGCACATATTTGTAGTGGAGTGTTGTTTATGCAGTGAAAATTTCAACATCGAAATCATTTCAACATTTGAATAACTGCTTACTTTAAATACAAGTGGCAGGTTTTTTAATTTGTTTTGAATGAAAAGTGCAAATTAAATTAAAAAAAATACCAAAATTTTCTATACTGATCAAAATCCTTATTGCAAGTTTAGTTTGAAAATTCAAGGTGATCACTTATCCTTTATACTGAATCAATTCGTTTTGTTTTAAACAAAGTTACAATAAGACATGAATATTGTTTAGACAATCATAGATACATCTTAGGTGTTCTGAATATCTGTCTAACAATATGTTTTCTACTTTTTAACACTGTTTTTGCTTTGTCCATAGCAAAGTTTATTCTTCCATTTCGGATGTAGAACCAAACAGAGAAGGAGTAGCTGTTGAAGAAACTTCTCGAGAAGAAAGTATTTCAGCTGTCGTCCTAGCACTTGTTGTTTCCCTTATTCTATAATTTGTACTCCTGTCAACCATTTTTACTTCACACTTTTTTGCAACGTGTGTCTAAAAAGTAGATTGGATACTTCTTAATGCAATCAACAAGATTTTTCTTATAAGAATGCTTCATAGCACAAGAATCATATAACTAAATAAACTTTACAAGTAATTTGCAAGTCGGAGACGTATTGGGGACTACACAAAATCTCCATGTTTTCTTTTTTTGCTGTTATGCTGATAATAGGTTGGAATAGCTGTTTTTGTAATTCACTGTCTTTTGATTCACTTGGATGTTGAAAACATATTATTAATAGCTTTATATAGTATACAATAGGTAAATTTACAATCATAAAAAATCAACCTATTGAATTCATACCTCATTTAATATACTGATTGCGCAGCTTGACTGTGCATTTAAGTTTTTGCTTAGATTTCATAATTTTTACTTTAAAACACTTCACCAAATCTCCAGTCGGCTATAAAACTAATAGAATATTATTACCTCGAAAATTTCACAATGGTACTAACAGTGAAAAGAAAGACAAAGTGTTGTTTTGTACAGGTTTATCAACTTACTTCAAAGTGATCTTCACAACTATAATTGTAAGTCAATGTTCACAACACTAAATAGTGTAAACTTTGTAGTATTGCAATTTTCTCTAATATGAACAAAGATTTTGTTTTGGTTATTTATTGAACCATTCTCGTAGGTATGAACAAAACACTTTCTGTATTCCATAGCTATGTTATATTTGATATTTTGTTGTATTCCATGGCTGTGTTATATTTGATATTTTGTTTCCCGGCAGCGAAATAAAAAATTGTAAAGATAGTAAGGTTACGTATACAAACGTGAAGTGACATTTAGTTTTTTTTTGTGTTTTTGCTTTGCATTACGCACGGATGTAACCTATTCTCCGGTTAAAAAAACCGACCTCAAAAGTTATTCATCACTTAGTTTGCCACCCTTAGAGCTGGAATATTTTCTTGAAATTTAAATGGGACCACATCTGAGGTATCCTCTTTCTAACAAAAAAAATCTTCAAAATTGGTTCACAAATGACGGAGTTACCGCGTAACATACATAAAAAAAATATACAGACGAATTGAGAACCTCCTCCTTTTTTTGAAGTCTGTTTAAAACATTATAGAGCCACTGATGACGTCATTGAATGTCAAATAAAGGCCAATACTATTTTTTGAAAAATATGAAGAAACACTTAGAAAAATGTCCTTCGATCCGGTCGGATTCGAACCGACGTCTTCTTGCATACCGTGCCAGACGCTATACCAACTAAGCCACGGAACGAACCAACGGACCTCACGAATTTTTCTATGTGCTTGCATCGTGTCTTTGTACTTGGTCTTTCAACGACTTTTTAGTCGTAGCGCCATCTATAAGAAATCTATGACAGATTTATCACCCAGTTAGTACCTTTACAGCTACCAGTCCTGGCGAGAGATGTCGCTATTCACTGTATTAATTAAATTTTTTATTGAATTGATATTCAATTATTTTTTGGGAAATTACTCCACTAGTTTGTTATAATTATTAATACAAAGATCGAACACTTAGAAAGGGAACTAGACAAGGGTAACAAAACTGTGGGTATTTTTCTAGACCTAGCGAAGGCTTTTGATACAGTTTACATCCCTGTGCTGTTACAGAAGCTTGAATCGCTTGGTATAAGGGGCATACAGCTTAAATTACTCGAAAACTACCTGGAGGACCGATCCCAATGTGTTAAAATAGGTGACATTCACAGTTCTGATCTGAAGTGCACTTCATTTGGAATTCCTCAAGGAAGTATTTTAGGACCAACACTTTTTCTGATTTACATTAATGACCTTTGTAACCTAGATTTACAAGGTGGAAAGATCATATCCTATGCTGATGATACTGTTCTACTCTTTTCTGCAAACTCTGACAAGGAGGTATACGACTATGCACAGCGTGGATTCAATATAGTAAATAACTGGCTCCAACATCATTTGCTAACACTAAATACGGATAAAACTTGTTTTATGCAATTCCATATGCGGAAATCAAAGTCATTTATATCTAACCCTAAACTGTATGCTCACCATTGTTTTGACCCTACTAACAACCTGTGTAAATGTCCAGACATTGCTATTACTAACAAGATAAAGTATTTAGGTGTTATATTAGATGACATCCTATCCTTTAAACACCATATCGAAGCACTAAGCGCCCGACTCCGTAAGTTAATGTTTGTGTTTAAAAAACTGCGCGTTTCTGCTGATTTTAAAATAATCAGGCAAGTTTATTATGCATTATGCCAATCATTAATTACTTACTGCATTACATCATGGGGTGGTATAGCTAAAACTACTTTACTAATCATTGAAAGAGCCCAGCGAGCTGTCCTAAAGGTTTCTACCTACCGCCCTTTCCGTTACCCCACTGACCTTCTGTATAAGTCATGTAAAGTATTAACTGTAAGGCAATTATTCATTAAGTCCACAGTCCTCAAACAGCACGTATTGCTCCCATATATTACTGAAAACACTAATAAAAGACGAAAAGATATTGTCTGCCCCAAAATTATATCATCAAAACATACTTTTATTTCAAGATTTTTTGTGT